ATAACAACAGTTATAATAAACAACAACTGTTATAAAAAACAACAACCATTATAATAAATAACAACAGTTATAATAAATAACAACAGTTATAATAAATGGCATAGAACAGAGTGTTTTTGTGCTTCTCACCCTTTTTCAGCATGTAGGAGCAAAACTAATAAATCCAGTTACAAAGAGATGTTAGTGTATCCACCAGTTTGGACGTAACTGTCATGCAGACGCAAGAATGAATGCAGACAATGAATGCAGCTGAGCCCGGCATCAGGGTTGCCATATAATTTTAAAATGTCTTATTTATCCCCTTCTTTTCTGTGCACATGTTCAACAAACACAACACACCTCAACGTAGAATTTCTTTACTCAGCACATATGACAGTTTAGGTCAAAATACTGTCACTTTAAAGCCACAGTACTATAGTTCATCACTTCTTATCTGGCAACCTGACTGACATGTAAACCCACTAATTTTTTGTTTATTCCCCCCAATAAACATTGAAAATACTAATGTTTCTAGATGTTGTTCTCATGTAAACGGGGCCTTGTAGTAGGTAGATCACTTTGACTTGGTCATTTTAAAATGAGCTCGCATGCTGAAAAAGTCTGGGCACCCCTGCTCTATGCAACTACCAGTATTGATTATTGACAAATAATACAAATGTGACTAGGGGTCATCTTTGTCTGAATTCTAAACTCTGTTGTAAATGTGTAATCTCCATGTTTTTATAGTGATTTTATGGGTTTGAACACTCTCTCTTCTTTCACAATTCAGTAATGTGGTTGAGAAATAGAGCAGCAACTCATTCAAACAGCATGTGGATCATAGATGCTCTTATCAAGTTTATTGACCCTGAATTAGCAGTAAAATATTGCATAAGCTCTTTTTTTCTGTTGTGCACACAGCTTTTTCTTGTTCAGTCATTCCGACTCAGCAAGTGGCTGCAGGTTTGAGTCAACGAAGCAGCTCTCATGTTCAGTGGCTTCATGGATTACAAAGTGATGTAAACAGTTGTGAGAAACATTGCTGTCTTAAAAAAATAAGAACATGATAAAAAATGCATGTTGTGTCAAAAAATCCATTCATTACAACTGAAACTTCTTAAATATATAAAATATTAACAATTTCAGCCCAGTATCAAAATGATTAACAGCTCATTAAGGAAGACTGTTCATGTTTATGGCACTGCTGAAAATCATTTAACTGCTTTCATTATAAACTTATTGTGATAAATTAAAATGATCAAACAACTCTTTTTTTGAGATAATAGTAAGAATGTGTTTGAACATCCAACAGGGAAAGTCGTACCCGTTCAAAGGCTCCTTTCCTCCCATGTGGAACCCCTTCGTCTTGTTGGACTTCAACAACCTCTTCAGGACAATGGATGAGATGGGCAAACAGGTAAAGATTTAGTGTCACTCTTGTGGTTTACCTGGTCTTAAATGTTTCCATGTTTGTTGTCATCCATCGTGGAGCAGAGACAGGGAAGTGAAAATACCCTCCGGCTGTCCGTGCGTGTTGTGAGCATGATTACTTGAAAAATAAGTGTGCCACCGACTTCCATTTTGGTGTGCAGCTGCTGCTAGGTGTAAGGAAAGTTCATTTCATAAAGTGGGTTGCTACATTATAATCCAAGATGTCCACTGCCTTATACTGAATATATGTAAACATACCACTCCTATCATTTCAGGAAACTATGCTTTATAGTTTTGTATTCCTCAAATGAATGGGTTGACCCTTGGGCCCTCACTACAGGGGCCACCAATGGCCACCCCCCTCGCTCCATCATTGCACCTGGTGGTGAATGAAATGACTCACTCTACTTGCAAGGATTTGTCACGCTGCGCTGCCTTGGACATGCAAAAAAATACAAAGAAAAAATAACTACCTCTATTCTCATAAGGGCAGCTGTGGCTGAGTGGGTAGAGCAGTCGTCCTCCAATGGGAGAGTTGGGGGTTCAATTCCACCAGCAGTCACATGCTGAAGGGCCCCTGGACAAGACACTGAACCCCTCATTGCCTCTGATGTGTGTCCCATCAGGGTATGAATGTGATAAAGCTCTGATTATTCATTGTAGAGGTCTAGTAGAGTGCTGTATGAATGGGTAAATGAGGCACAGATTGTTGTAAAGAGCTTTGAGTATCTTGATCAGATAGAAAAGTGCTACATACGTACAGTCCATTTACCATATACAGTGTAACTCCTGCCCACTTGATTAAGATTTCATGAAATTCCAGTCCAGGAAAACACATCTCAAAAACTACAAACATTATTCAAACCCCTCTGCAATGGGAAATATCGGCATTCCACTTGTTCTTGTTGAAACTGTGTGTGTGTTTTAGATTCCCAGGGAGGCACCATGGAAAGCTCCACATGCTGAAGAGTGGGACAAAATGACCATGCAACAACTTTTTGAAAAGATCTGCTGGACCAGGTAGGATGTACATCAGACTGTTGGGAAATTTCATGACTTTACCAATGTTCTCATGGTTCTTACCAAATCCCTCAGTTTTTTAAATGGTTTACCCAAACCCCTAGTAACGTGTATATATTTTGCTGATGATCTTTAAAAATGTTTTTTTTTTAATGAGCAATTTTTCAGAATATAAGTTCAATAGCCACAAACATGATTGTGTCTCATTTTTATTAAAAGAGCAAATGCAACAGACACCTCAACAACCAAAGTATTATTGGAGTTTTTGTGGATTTCTCTCTTTGGTTAACCTTGGCAGTTCAGTTACTTTGTTGACGTATTGCGTTGTACAGATTGCCCATCAGGAGGCAACTCTTGTGATTTGTGACCAAAAATAAATTTGTAGCTTCTGACTCAAAATTTGACGTTTGTTGTTAAAATTAAAACACCAAACTTATAGAGCAAACTCAGTATGTTACGCAAAACAGTTTCCAGTTGAGTGGCAATTTTTTTTTAATCTCATGCTTTGTTTCCAAGGTTCAGTCAACATCATCAATGAATCAAATCCATTCGTTTCAAAGATGCATCACTGAAAACTTTAATGTGGTCTGTTTGAAGTCGGGTTGTTTCACCTGTTTTATACAGTCAGGGCTAAAATATTCTTAGTTTGGTGAGTTAGGTCTGTCAACAAAACTAAACACTTAACAAACAAGTTAAAAGTTGAAGACCCCTGGTTGCCTGGCTGCAGTACAAGTTTTAAGTTATTTAAAAAAAAAAAAAACTTTATTAATCCCAAAGGGAAATTATTTGTTGTTGTAACTCATTATCCTCATCTTTATGTCCTCCATGTAAAAAATGTGACATTTTCTGGACTAAAAAGTCATGAAGATAGGACCTTTTGTTTTTACTGAAGACACAGCCTCACTACTGTGCAAACTCTGGTTACAAAAAATATAACATGGCAGGGCCTGAAAAACAGACATTTTGGCTTCAATTTACTTTGTAGACAACAGAAGATAATGAGTTCACTTTACCATCTTTACTACTGATGGTCAGATCTCCTTCACAATGGATCGTAAAACCACCACATTTAAAAAAATCAGCCACTTGGTCTTGGTGATGCTCAATTACATGTCCAGTCCATCACACAGGATACATGGTCTTTTGTCCACAATTATTTGAAACATGCACAAAACTTCTATAGCAAGGTCAGTGTGGTTTAACATTGTGGTGGCGATGTATTCACGGCATGACCACTCACACCAGTGTGGCCTGGTTGTTGATCATTTGAAACATGACTGGTCAGGTGCCATCCTGAAACTGTTAACGACAATCAAGAACATCAAATATTCTCAGTGGCATCATAAAATAGAAGAAAAAACTAGAGAGTACTAAAATTTAACAGCATTGTGAGTAAAAGAAGTTTTTGAAATTTGCAGTCAAGTAGGTTGTTGAGCTTTCAAGATTGCCATCCAGGGCCTTAGCAACAAACAAAACTAAACTAAAGCTTAAAAGTGGAAAAATAAAATGTCACCTTTGTGTTTCCTAAGAATAAAATAAAAGTTTGATGACAAATATTTTCATTCATACTGAAAATAATGATTGTAATAATGACTGCTGACGTTTGCAGGTTCTCAGTTGAACAGATTATCAGAAAGAATCAAACTTTTAATCCAGAACTAAAGGAGCGAGCTGCAGTGAGCAGTTGTCAAGCCAAGAAAGCTGAAAATAATCCGAACATCCACACTGTTGTTCTTTCTCTTCTTCTCACAGTGCCGTTCGTCGCTTCGCCACCCTGTTTGTCAATGTGAACGTGACTTCCGAACCCCATGAGGTGTCGGCTCTGTGGTTCCTCTGGTATGTAAAACAATGCGGAGGAACCATGAGAATCTTCTCAACCACAAACGGAGGGCAGGTGAGCCTGTGTGTATGGAAAGATAAAATACTTCCTCACTGTGTGTGTATCTGAGCGGTCAGCCACTGAACTTGTGATAAAAAACAGAAAAATCTGCTTCGGACTTTCCAAGAACTCTCTCTGCAAAGTGTTCAGAATGAAGAGCAACGAGGTGATGCCAAGAAAGGGTCTTAGTGGGTTTTTGCTACAGAGAAGCAGCATTCAGTCGTTCTAAATTAGGTTCTAAATTAGCTATAGTACTTTTAACTTTGTAGCATACCAGCTCTGCATAATTATGAGCCCAACAAAAAAGGCTTTCAACAGAACTCAGTCTGCTGCGCTTCTTTCTTAACAAAGTGACACACTGATGGCCACACAGGACTGGGGTTGTGTTTCTGTTAACAGATGACATCACAACCGGCACTGATGCCATCGTCTTCAAAAAGTCTACAACTCAGTGAACTTTACAGATACTGAGCTAAAATGTGATGCAAATTTAGTTAAAAGTCATCTTCAACTTTATACTCTGGGCACTAACAGAAGATCTGTGTTCAGAACTTTTTCATTAATTATTGGAATCAACTTTGGTAGCAAAACAACTCATAAAGCACTATTTAGGATTTACAGACAATTTATAATAAATGAGGACCACCATCCTATCGAATGATCATTAGTGCCCTGATGGCCGCTTGCTATTCACAGAGGGTTGAGTGATACTAGTAATAACAGAGGGGTACAGTTGAACACAGAGACCTCCACCCCCGTTCATTGATGGTTTCTCTTCACAAAGATGGCTTCCTTCACTCTTCTCAAACCAACAATCCTCTCTATCAAGGATATGAACATCTTCATCCTTGAAAGAGTAACTGCTGGCCTGGAGATGATTGCAGACCCTCTGGACTACAAGTTAGGAGTCATCAGGACTCTGTACCACAGAGCAGCAGACAGCATCCCCACCAGCTCAGGAGCCAGGCAGAAGGAGAAATCCAACACAAGACAGGCTCTAGAGCAATGTGGATATCCTAACTGGGCCTTCCTGAAAGCAGAGAAGAAACCCAAACAGGACTCCAGTCAGCCATCAGGTGAAAAGGAGGAACCCAGACCCAGACCAGTGGTCATTCCGTATGTTGAGGGAGTATCAGAGAAACTGAGACGTTTATTTTCTAAACATAACGTCCCAGTGGCTTTTAAACCCCAAAATACGGCAAAGACTGGTTCATCCCAAAGATCCAGTCCCCCGGCACAAACAGAGTAATATTGTGTATGCTGTTCAGTGTCAGGAGGGCTGTGATCAGTCTTACATCGGGGAAACTAAACAGCCACTGGCCAAAAGGATGGCCCAGCACAGAAGATCAACATCATCAGGCCAGGACTCTGCGGTCTACACTCATCTCCAGGCCAGCGGTCACTCTTTCAAGGATGAAGATGTTCACATCCTGGACAGAGAGGAACGATGGTTTGAGAGAGGAGTAAAGGAGGCCATCTTTGTGAAAAGAAACCGTCCATCATTAAACAGGGGTGGAGGCCTCCGGGTTCAACTGTCCCCTTCTTACAATGCTGTGATTGCTAGTATCACTCAACCCCCTGTGAATAGCAAGTGTCCATCAGTGTGCTAATGATCCATTGTTAGGCTGATGGTCCTTCTTTATCATGTGATAGCTGGTTTTGGTTGTCAGCAGCAAACTGGTTGATCCACTCTGAGAAGGTGCTATTTATAAGACAGAATTTGTTGCAGCTCCTCAGACTGAAGAAGTCTTTTGGATAAAAGATGAAACGTTTCAACAAAAAGAATCCATCCAGAGGACCTGACTTTACTCCCTTAGACTTTTCTACCTGGATTATTGAGCATGCATCAGGATGTTACTGATTAACTTTTAGAATCAATCAAATTCAGAGCCAACTGATTTTAGAAAATAAAAGAGTGCCTATAGTGGTCAGCTTTACAGCTACTGAACTACATTTTGGTGTGATAGTAGCTGAGACTAATGCACAACAGAAACTTTAGGCATGGCACATTGCCGGACTTCTTTGATCAAATTTTTGGCAATACCTTTTGGAGTCAATCCAGTATGTCTGTTAGCAAATTATCTCATGAACCACTAGACTGACTTTACTGAAACTTAAAGAAAATAATAATTGGGTGTACATATATAATTTATAGTTAAGCAGTATTTCAAGAAATCACACATAGTTTCATTTATGAGAATTGAACAACATGTCTATAACTTTTCTCATCATGAAGATGTTAATATAAAGCTGGCATAAAAAAATCATGGGCAATTTGTATTCCTTTAATAACTGTCTATCATTTTTTACTGAAACAAAAATATATAGTCCAGCACAGGCTCAGTTTGTTTCACTGTCAGACCCTATTTAAACTGGATAACCTAGCAGCGACTGGAAGGCAAATTTGTCTAAATGCCACAGTGGAATGAACACAACATGTTTCCAATCAGGGCTGACAGAGCTGTCCACTCCCACCACATGGAAAAGGTCACGGCTTAATCACTTTCCTGTATCAGAGCTTCAACAGCACTTTATCTCTCTTCACTTCTTTAATATGTCTTCATGATTTCCATGTTGACGGCCTGAGCTGTTCAAACAAAATTGTACTGAAGGAAAAAAGAAGATAGAGGATAATGATGCAGAACGTTTGCAAGTCCAACTGATTTTATCAGCCTCTGGATCAAACATACAAGAAAATACAAAATTAAGACAATTTAATCAAATAATAAAGGAATATTTAGCTCACAGAACAAAAAAGCTGGATTTCCCCCTTACATTTGGCTGTGACTGACCTGTACTGTCCTTGTTAACCCCTGAAGGAAAGGAAGTTTGTTGGTGGCTCGAGTCAGATCAGTGAGTGCATGGCCAACGAGCTAGGGGATCGAGTGAAGCTGCAGTCACCGGTCTACAGGATCGACCAGACCGGAGACATGGTGCTAGTAGAGACGGTGGACAAACAAACCTACAGGGTGAGTAGAGTTCTGCTGTTTACTGCCAACAAAGTGTGGTGGCAAACACATGTTTCACTGTCAAGAGCAACCATGTTTCTAAACAAAGCCAGTGGATGAGGAAGGATGAAATACGATACTTACGTTTCTGCTCTTCAAAAAGAGGGAAGGCAGAAAAGGAAAACATGGAAATCATTTGTTTCAGGCCGTAATCCAAACAGTGTTTTCTAAGATGAAAATGTAAATGTGAACGGAGACTAGAAAATTTGAATGCAAATGACTGCTGAAATTGGTTGGAGAACAAATTGTTACTTGAATTGTTAGTTAAAAGAACCCACACAGAAGCCAGAAGTTATATATAACTAAAAGCTAAAATTAGCTAACCTACAGCTAAAAGCTAAAATTAGCAAAACCATAACTGAAAGTTAAAATTGGAAAAACATTTCTAGAAATCTTGTTAGCGAAGCATAGCTAAAAGCTACAATTAGCAAAATACTAGCTCAAAGTTCAAATTTGCCAGATCATAGCTAAAAGCTATAATTAGCAAGGCAGTTACTAAAAGCTAAAAATAGCACATTTAGTACAAAAATAGCACAAAAACAAAAAATTGAGCAACTATGCTGATGTAAATTACTGTAATTGACAGTCTATAGAACACACCTGACCTGACTATATATTCCATCTGTACTGTTCTCTAAGCTTTTTTATTGTTTTCTATTGTATGGGTGTACATATGGTTATGTTATGTTTTTAATTTTACTTTATTTGTGGGTGTACACATGTTTATGTCTTATGTAATGTTCTCATTTTTACTTAAGTTTTTACTTTATTTTTACTTTATTTTACTTTATTACTATTAGCACCTTATGTCGAAGCAAATTCCTAGTTTGTGAACCTCGTTCATTGACGTGGCAATAATAAACTGATTCTGATTCTGATAAACCACGCATACTAATAAAAAAAAAAAAAAACACAATTTTGTACATAAACAAGACGCGCTGGTGTATAAGCCGCAGGCGTCCACAGTTTAATATCAGAAAATGTACACGGATCCTGGTGGAGTGTGCAGTACAATAATGAACCACCAGATGGCGTTTCATAGACGTTGTTTTGCCTTCAACACACACACTCTGCTGATCCTCACAGGACTTCATGATGAGACACATTTTGACTCATGGTTAACGGTAACTACGATAAATAACCATTCAACCAATAGAATGAACACAAACTGGTCTAAGCAAAACACACTACTGGTTATCACTGGAGAGAACAGTCTACATAAGTGAAATTATTTAAAAAAATTAACATACCGGTAAATTTTACCCACTGTCCCTCCTGTTCTCTCTCACGTTGAGCGATATTTACTTACACAGAAAGATTTTTTAAAGACTTTTAATTGAAATATGTAACTGTACATAAGATAAGATAAGATAAGATAAGATAAGATAAGATAAGATAAGATAAGATAGAACTTTATTGATCGCGCAGGAAATTATTGTGCTAGAGTTTCAGTACAAAGGAACATACACAATAATCACAAGATATAAAAATAACAGAGAATATAAAAATTCCAGCAATTAAGTTCTAAACAGGTGGCTACTTACAGTAAATGTTTTTTTTTTTTTTTCTGAACAATGTCTTTAGCATAGCTGGTAAAAATCCATCCATCCATCCATCCATTATCTTTACCCGTTTATTCCATTTTGGGTCACGGGGGTCGCTGGTGCCCATGTCCAGCAATCACTGTGTGAGGGGCGGGGTACACCCTGGACGGGTCGCAAGTCCATCACAGGGACACATAGAGACAAACGAGACAAACAACCATTCACTCTCTCACTCACACCTAGGGACAATTTAGAGTTACCAATCAGCCTAACATGCATGTTTTTGGTCTGTGGGAGGAAACCGGAGTACCCGGAGAAAACCCACGCATGCACGGAGAGAACATGCAAACTCCACCCAGAAAGGCCCCTGGACCGGGGTTTGAACCAGGGACCTGCTCGCTGAGAGGCAGCAGCTCTACCAGTTTCACCATCGTGCTGCCTAGCTGGTAAAAATAAAAAATAAAATAAATAAAAAAAACAGTCCAATGGAATTTTCTGCTTGAGTGAAAGTGAAAAAGTTTTCTCAGTCTGGAGGTGACAGACGTGCTCTGATGGATGGATGGATGGACGGATGGACGGATGGACGGATGGACGGACGGATGGATTGATGTTGTTTCTGTGGCGATTTTCAATTTGATGGTCTTTCAGTCAGAATGTGCGTGAGGAACAAAAGTAGTGGCGTATACACCGACTACAGTAGTTGAGAACATCTTTTTCAAAGAATTTGAAGAGAGCTCAATTCATTTATATGGACAAAAGTTTGTAACTAAATTTAATACTGTAATTCAAAAAGTCTAAAATCTACAACCACAAAAACTCATACTTTCTCTGGTTGAGCAGAATGTGAAATTAAAATTTAAAACAACAAAGTATGCATGATTAGTTTGATTAGGGAAAAAAGCATGGAAGAAAGTAAAAACAGGCAAACAACAGTGTGAATGCTGACTTAGCGTACCCTCAGCAAACGTATTTTTCATAGTGATTATATAAAACAGAAAGTTGTAGACACCATGATGTCCTCTTTTGATTCGTTCACCTCACCAAGCCTCAAGTTGAACCCTCTAGCTGCCCTTGGGTCAAAATGACAAACAAGGCCTCGGCCTCGAAGGTC